TTAAATCTTCTCCAAACGGATTCCCTTGAATTATAGGATACACTCTCGTGTACCCTCGGCCCTTTTCTACTCGTTCTCCCGGATGAAGGCACAAACCGCAACCATACTCGCCATTAAACTGAGTTGAACATCTCACTAATGGTCGTGCAACGGCGTCACAAATTCCCAACATAACAATTACTTTTTTAGTATATATTCTGCCATTGTACTTGTATTGAAAACCCTTATCGGCGAGTTTTGTTGCTTCAGCAATGAATGGCTTTAAATAATCATTCATACTTTTAGGTTTACCTGCACCAAACCATATACTTGATAACAACATACGATTACGGCGTTCAGTTGGATGGAATTCATTTACAGTACATACGACTAGGTATACTGATGTTTGTGAGCTATCAAATATTGGCCGCGTTCAGGTTTACTAAGTTCTTGGCAGATCTTAGCATATCCTATTGAATAAAATGGCGACAGCTGAATAATGATGTAAATACCTGAATAGTAAGTATAGATGTTTTTATTTTGGACAGACTGACTTGAATAACGCTGATAATTAAAATAAGTATACTCAAGTATTTATATAGTATCGATATAGAGCGGTGTAAACTAACCTCCACACATCATACTTGTAGTTCAATAAGAAAAGTAATTCATACTTATTTTTTGCAATAAAGTTTTTTTTTTATTTATAAGTGTGAAAATATAAGAAATAATAGATAATTTTGATTTATTGGATATGATAATAATGGACGAAATGTTACTGGCACAAGCGGAGGAAACTATCTTCAATGTGATTAATGGATTATTGGGTAATTATTTAATTTAATGAAGGTGATTGTGAAGGACATGAGCTAAATTTTTAATAATTAATAAACTAATCCTTATACTTTATTTAGTTTTGATAATAAAAATTAATTAAAGTCTGTTAAATTCACAGTCCTTTAATTTATTATTATATGACCTTTATTATTATTTCCAGTTAGTTAACTTTAACGTTTCAGATTTTAACAATCATTTGATAATGGATGATTTTTTTTTATACGACGGAGATTTGGATGGGGATGATGTGAATGCACGGGGTGATCCACCAACTCGAATTAATAATTATTATGAGGAAGTGATTCCTGAATACGATGATGAGCAATTTTATTTGCATTTTCGCATGTCACGAGAAGCATTCATAGTAAGTTTCTGATTTAAACTTCTTAAATTTTCTTAAATGATTTTAATTACTAACTAAGTGACAGTTTATTTAAGGCAAGTATCACAATTACTTAAAGATTAAATAAATTTAAGGATCTACAAGAGATTATTTCTCTGCATGTACGTAATTTGAATGACCCAATACCACTGGGTAAAAAAATTTTAATGACAATATGGTTACTGGCTACTCCTGATAGTTTCCGTTCGGTTGCAGATCGCTTCAATTTTTCTGAAAGTACTGCACATTTTAGTTTCAAAGAGATCATTTTAATTCTATCTCATAATTTACTTCCAAATTTTATTTCTTGGCCAAATGATGAAGAATCTGCATTAATTGAGAATGTAAACTTAATTATATCATTCTTTAACTTTAACTTTGATGAAATTAATTTATTCATTTTAATCATCTAGGCTTTTCTTAATAAAACTGGAGGGTTCTCTGGAATTGTGGGTGCAATTGACGGGTGTCACATTTCAATAAGACAACCACCAGGAAATGCGAATGATTACTATAATCGAAAAGGAAGCCACTCCATTATCTTGCAAGGTATGTAATGTAAAAATTTCCATTTATTAATTATTTTTAAAATTCATTATTATGTCATATATTATAAATTCATTTTTTTCACTTAGTATTAAAAGGTACATGTGATCATAATAGAAAATTTATTGATGTTTTGATTGGACGACCTGGAAGAGCTCATGACTCACCAGTTTTTAGAAGCTCTCCGTTGTATGGAAAAATAACAGATGCTTAAAATCCGTTATTAAATCAAAATCAACATATTCTTGCTGATTCTGCTTACGCATTAATGACCAATGTTTTGACTCCATTCAAAGATAATGGTCATTTAACGCCACAGCAAGTAAGATATAATGTACGGCACGCATCTTTGCGTAGTAGTATAGAACGAGCGTTCGGAATATTAAAAGCTAAATTCCGCCGGTTGAACTATTTAGATGTTCAGTCTCTCCAGACTGCAAACCTTATAGTAGCAGCAGCATGTACCCTTCATAATTTTACATTAGCCCGTGAAGAAAGACGTAATATAAATTTATTAAATGTGGAAGTTGACCAAGATGATAATGATGATAATATTGATGATATTGATGAAAATGAAAACATTGAAGAGAATATTAATGCTGTTGAAAGACGAAATGAAATTATGAACTCTATGTAAATTATAAAACTTATTTTCCATTTTTATATCAGGGTGATTCTTTGTAAGGATGTTTTTTGCTGCCCCAGGTATTTTTTTATTAGAAAAATTGTTATTTTGTTAATAAAAAAAATTTATTACGAAAATAAAAAAAAATTTATATTTGGAGCATTGAAAATTAATTTGTTTAATTAAATCCATCAAACTTAAGTTTGTTCCAGGCATTTTAAGAACAGTCCCCTGCCAGAAGTTCAAAACCAAAAAAAAATCCAGCGTGTTATTTTACCTTTTGTAAGTTTTATAAGGACCTAATTAGTCTTGAGTTGATAACCTTAGGGCTGTTAGCGCTTTATCGGTATTTTATTTAGTGTTAAAGGACCGTTTGTGCTGGAAATATGTGTCTGAGCCACTTCAAAACTCAGTCCCCTAGCAAGTATTTTTATTTATAATTTATTTATGAAATGGCTACGTAACAAATCACCCGCACAACATTTCACCCGCGACAATTCACCGCGATTTTTTCAATGTGAAAAGATTATTAATATTTATAAAAAATAATCCACAGATTCGGTAGAATCTGGCGCCAAGTTCCGTTCAAATCCGTTGTCAACAGAGCGCCAGACTACCGACTGTGTTTACTGTAAGCAGAACGGTATTTTGAGGTTGCAAAATTTTATTTAATTCTACGGTACTTTTTTTTTCCTAAATTGTATATTATAACAGTAATTCATAATTTATTTAACTGTT